TTGGGAAGAGTATGCCCAGTGATGCATTAATTAACACAATTTGCAACTAAAAACCAAATTCTATCATTTTGTCTCTATTGTAAGGGAGAAATAAATTATTAAACAAATTAAATATAATATAAAATCGTAACAATAAATAATTTAAAAATTTAAAAACTTTTTATATTAAAAGCTAACTTTCAATAAATGAAACCAAGCAAACTCGTTGATACGAAAAAAAAATTTTTTTTGCCTGGTTTCAATTCTTTTATTTCATAATTTTATAAACAATGGATAATTTGCATGCTCTGATTTCCACTTGGAGCATAAAAAAGCTCCTGCAGGTTTCCACACCTGCAACCTGGGCGTCAAAGGCAGTGTGCGGGTTTCATACCTTTGGTGAACGGGTACCGTGTGAAATTTTAATTAACTGTTCTCGAATGGAAACACATTCTGAAAATTGCCAAGCGTAAGAATTATTCACGTCTCACTTAATTTAATTTCGTGATTTATGGCACCAGCTCGCGCGACTCCTTCGTTTCCGCACGCGTCACTGGACTAATTCGCCCTCTTTTTGTGAATTATTTCTCACTCTTTTTCATTAAACGCGTGCTTTTTGCTTTGAAACGGAGAAATAAGCAAGTATTGCACATAGTATCGCACACGCGGCTCGAGCTAATTTGAATTTCGTTTGTGACGGCAATTAATTAGCGCAGCTGTTGAGAAATCTTTCTTTCTTTCATTCCATTTGTGTTGTGCTTATTGCGGAGCATTATTCGCGCGCGACGGGCTGCAACTGAAACTCATTAATTTCTTGCGCGCATTCGCATTCAAGAAGCGAATCGCGCGATATATACAAATTCCCTGGCCATTAATATTCGTTCGTAATTTATTCAGAAAATATAATCTCGGGCCGTGTAAAAGCCAGAGGGACCACGCGTTCCGAGTGCTAATGATTTCCTCAAAAAAGCCAGCGCCGAGTTTAAATTCGCTCCAAATATTAATGCCTAAGTGAAAAGAGCGAGCTTTTTTCACGAGACGGCGAAAGTGAGCAACATGATGATGACGATTATTATTATTTCGCCACTCCATTTGGCGACAATGGCCGCCCGCAGATGCCTTTTTTCTTAATGACCTCTCGCAGATCCCGCTATTAGTTGCGACATAAACTTCATAACAACGTTTTACCGTGACAATGCGCCCGTATTAAAAACTTCTTTTAGTGAAAATGAGCCGCCGTAAGAAGCGTCTTCATTACACTTAGGAGGAAAGTTGCCTTCAAAATCGAAAGCCTTCTTGTTTCTTCGTTTATTTCTCATCGTAAAAAAGTTGTGAAAGATTTTATCAGTAAACTGGCCAAAAATCTCATCTCCTGCAAATGTGCAAAAATAGTCTGATCTAGAAAGATCTTATTTCTTAAGAAAGTAGTTATTTTTGGAGTGATCAATAATAATAATACTTTTTTACACAAAATTTAGCTTTCGTAATTCACATTGTTAAAATAAATTTAAAATATTCAGAATTTATCCACTAGATTAAACAACAAATAATAATAATTATTATTAATTATTAAATTCCAGATTTTTTTGCTCAATTGAGCTCAATAAATCAAAACAATAAAACTTTGCTGAAAATTCCACAAAAAAGCAATGGTTTTTCATTAAGAAGAACATTTGAATGTCAGAATGACAAAATGTACCAAAGATTCCCAGCCATAAATCATCTTTAAGTATATTGGGAAAAAAATCGATTTGACTACATGTTTGCCGAACTATTTATCAGCGACCATTTTACCTACTGAAAGTTTAACACATAAAGAGAAGGGTGGCCATGTATATACTGCAATGAGGATCTGAAGTGTTAAAAAGACGAAAGCTGTTATTGCGCTGCAGAGGGCGAAAGGAGACTATTAGAGAAGAGTTGGTGGAGTTTGCAAATGTGCACATAGATCGCGAACTCCGCCGTCCTGCCAAGCAGCCAACGAGCCAAGGAGCAGAACACAGAGGAGCCAGAATTATCATTCTTCGCTACTTGACGCCACCCGGGGTCGCGCCATTATTTTTTCGTCATTATGAACTCGAGTAGATTGAAAATTAATGAGGTGAAAATGGCGAGCGGGATGAAAAGAGGAGGGCAGATGGTGCACTTATTATGATTCATATATTTTGCCGCTCGAACGGGTGGAACGTGGGTGGCTGCGCTAAAAGTGCAAATTGCAGTGAAAAACTTTGATTGATGAAATTATTAAGTTAATAAAAACCTGAAAGCCGTTTATTTTTTTAATTATCATTAGTTGTTGGCATTAAATTTATCAATATGTAGTTGAATTGTTGGAATAGTTAAATTAAAAATACAAATTCGAGACCATAATTAAAAATCATTAAAAAATTAATTTTTGTATTTTCTTATATTTGTGAATTTTCACTTCTACATCTAAAATTAGAGTTAGAGTTTTTGCATCATTAAATAAACATTTTTTTGATATTATTATCATTAAAAATATCGTTCTTATTGTAATGTTATAAAATTTTAATCAACTGCAAATAAATGTTATATTATGTTAGTTTAAAATGAACGTTCACTCCCACAGGTTTCCAAGTGAACGTAAAGTTAAATCGAGCCCATTTCCCGTTGAAAAACCATTCTAATCCTCTCGTTCACGCGAGTCAACTTGCGCTAGGCTGGCAGACGCTCGCTCGCTTCTTTTCTCCCGGCCCGAATACAAATGGCTCTCTTTCTTGGGCATTGATTTTCGCCGCGCTGTGTTCCATTGTGTGCATAACAAATGGGCGACAGACACCCTCCTCAGCAGATTCACTTTCTCTTTCTCACTCTCGGGCCGGCCGTAAACAGCAAGTTGTATTAGCAGTGTTGCATATAGGGTACTTGTTGGCGGCCGGTCGGTTGCTCTCTTAGATAATCAGCGCCGTTCATCCTCTTTATCAAGAAGAAGAGACGATCGAGCCGGGCATGAATATTAAACAGCTCTTCCTCAGTTATTCTTTCTCAACTCGCTTCTTTTTTCCTTCTCTCTCTCTTGATATTCCGTTTCAAAACAATGTTTACCCTGCTTTCGCGACGACAACGAAATTGCGATCCGATGCGCAAACAAAATAAAATCGGGCTCAGACTGAATAAAGAATGAGTTGCCGCTTCTCGAATTTCACTGCCGAGACTGTTGAATTTTTAAAAATTCCAGCCGAGATCATCCGAAAGGAAACGCCGTTGTGTGTAATCTCACGTGTTGCAGGTGCAGGTTCCCACTCTTGGCAGAAGCGAAGAGGGTGGAAAGGAGATTTTTTGTGATTCGGCTTTATTTGCACGCCGTTTCTGCACCATTCTCACTCCGGGCGTTGTTAAATGGCGAATAAACAGTGGCCGAGTTTCCGCACCTGCAAATCATTGTGCAGCCTAGGCTTTTTTCCACGGAGAGCTTTACGCGCGCCTTCAACGGGACTTGGGGGACCTGGCGGCAGAGGAAGAAACCACAACGGAGCCCTTGTTAAATATTGCACGAGACAATTTGCCGCGGCGAAAAAGACCACCTAAGGGAGACAAATTCGAGCCAAAATCTGCACAGGGATAAAACAAACTTTGCAGCGCTCGGCACGCGATTAATTATTGAAATAATTGTCCGAATTATTCAAGATTGAGAAAGTTTGTCGCGGCCGGGTGTATAACGAGTTAGTTTGTCTTGCGAGTGTCGAGTGCATTATTAACGAGTCCTTTTCTCTCTGTTTTGTTGACGTTGTCGTCTTGTTATATTTAAATTCATGTCGACTTTGCTGGTAATTACTTTCGGAAAGTTTGCTCGCCTTCAATGAAAGGTTTTAAAAGAGAGAGAGAAGGATTTGCGTTTCTCCTTTTTTTCTTTACAAATGCAAGAGGCGTACGTACGTGTCTCAAAGGGGATGAGAATTAGCATTTCGTTCGTCCCACTCACGGGTCAAACAAAAAACTTTTCCATTTCCGCCACACGTTCCTAATTTACTTTTTTACAGATAAGGCAAAGGGGCCGCACCGTCACATGATAATCGGCGAGCTGCTAATGGGAAACACAGGAAATGAGATAAAAAAGTGAAAAAAAACCCTCGCTATATCAGTAGCTATTGATGCCTGCGAGCGAGGGTTGGGAATATATAATATTAACTTTTGCACATATATTCCATATTTTTTTCCAGCTTACAGCTTTGATCGCTCAACCCTAAATTTATGTTGGATTCGATGTTTGTCAATTAAACATTAAAAACGATAGAAGTTTTAATATCAATCAACCAAATAATAATTTAAATGTGTTTTTTAGTTGTAAAATGATTTTAACTAATAGCAAATAATTGATTGTCAATTAATCTCGTGTTAAATGAAATCATGATTGCGGCTGCAGTTTGACGGAATTTAAATATTTAATCAGATGATTTTTTTCCTTTAAGTAAAATTATCTAATCAGTTTTATTCGGTTTTTTGCCGGTCTAGGGGATTTTATATAGATTTTTTTTATAAACCCACTCAAAATAAATTAAAAGTAAGAATGAAAGCGGAAAAGACTTGATTGACCGAAATAAAATATGATATTTTATATAAAAATGCAAAAAAAACGTCGTTGTATTAAATTAATTTTCATTGAACTTAATAATATATTAAAATCCAAATTGTCTAATAAAAATGTGGCACCTACTGGCTCACTAATGTTTGGAAAAGACTGAAAAAATGCTTTGCGGGTATTTTTAGGGTAAAATTTTTGAATTACATGTTCAAACTGTATTAGAAAACTTACGATATTGACAAAAATTTCAACAAGATCTTTATTGGGCGTCAATCTTCTTGAATTTTTTTCAATTTGATTTACATAAGTTTTCAAAGCGATTCGGAATATAAATCATAAAAATTTATAAGCCTCCAAATTGAAAAAGTAATTTTTCAATCCATAATTTAATTGTTTTCCTTCACTAATTTAAAAAAGTTCGACCATTTCTTAAAAATTATCCATTGCAAAACTTTGTATACGAATTGCAGGTACTCACCTCAAGAGGCATAATCTGCTGGATAAGAAACGTCAGCCGACGAATAAACTACACCATGGAAGCGCCGCTACGAAATGCCCGGAAAGAATTACTTTGACGTCAAAGAAATTGTCGTCGAAAAAAGTGCAGCTGGCGGCAAAGAGGGTCGCAGCCGTGTGGTCGTGCACAGCTCCGCAGTGAGACTGATCCGGCGAAATCCTCCTGCCCCGTTCAAGCAGCGCCGAGTTCACCAGAGCGCAAGTCTAACCCGAGACCCATTGGCTGTAATGTTATTATGATGTTGTGGCTGGCCTGGCGCGAGCCGGCGAACGAACCGACCGCCGATGCAAAAGGTTTGCCCCGCGTGTGAACTGTGAATGTACAATCGAGGAACAAACTCGCTGCCCATCGGCGATTGTGGCAAAGCAAAACGACCATAAACTCTTTACTTGCCCCGGATTGAATGGCGATCGCCAATTTTCTAGTCTCATTGAAAGTAAAGTGTGCATTGATTATCATTTAAATTTTGTTATGAAATGTAAAATAAGTACATCAGCAAAGTTATTAATTATCAATGGTAAGCAATCCTCCATCAACACCAAAATTATTCCCCTTTTTGTTTGGAAACTTTTTTTTCTAAACTCTTAAATTGATAATTAATTCATATAAATATGTGTTAAATAAAAAATTATATTAATTTTTCTTTAAAATTTAAAAAAAAAATAATAACAATAACGAGAAGCTAATTTTGCAATGCCGGACAACTTTTCAATAGCGACTTTTCTAAATTTTTGCTTTAAAGTCAAATTTTCAATATCCACTTTGATTTTTTTAGTAGGAAAAAAATGTAGCCCATCTAATTTAGAATCGAAATGGTGAAAATACAAAGTGAGATATTTTAGGTTTTTATTAAATTTAGCTTGAATACATGAAAACGCTGCCGAAGAAATGTTTTTGAAGATTTTATGAAAAATACGCGTCATGTGTATACACCCTTTTAATTTATGGAGAATAAACTTGGACAAAATGTTTGTAGTAAACTGGGACTCAAATTAGAATTTCTTTGAGAGGTTTTTTTATTTAGGTGGTATGAAATGGCAAAAAAAAAAACCTCAACCGCTTGCCTTTGGCGTAAACTTGAAAATAAGTCTTGGAAAATCACATTGTAAACAATGTGATGTAACAATTTGGACAAATAAATAACAATAATAAAAAAAATGAAATTAAATATTATAATACAATAAACTTGTAACATGTCTAATCTAATCTAAATCAATTTCCAATTTCGTCGACTGTTACTCAAAAATTCTCAACTCTGATTCATTAACAAGCCTTCCGCAGAAAAACCCTTCATTGGAAAATGTGATCCATTTCCAAAGTCCTTGACTCTCCTTGATCAGAATTTGAGGAACTAAAGAATTAAAATATCATATAAAAAAATTTTCAAAATACTTCGGCGATAAACCTTTTACTTGTCCAAAATCACAAATATATATTTTTTAGAAATAATTGGTATTAAAATACATTTAAGTATTCCAAAATTTGCAATTTGCACTTTTTAAAAATAAATATTCTAATTATTGTGCGCACTTCGCTTTTCTTCTCCCTCAACATCATACTTTTTTCAAGTGACATAATAGCTCGCTCCTCTTTAAGTATATCTCGAGTGCGTGGCGTTTCTGGTGTGTTGGCTTTGTTGAGAGTCCAACACAAGTTGGCGCGCACCTCTGGGAACGACTCTTCCTTCGCCAAGAGTTTGCGAGTTGTAATTTAGCGAGCCGACGATGCGAAGAGACTGGAGACGCGTCGCGGACCAAGTGGGTGAATCAAAAATTTAAAAATTAATTAAAAGCCGGTGGTCTCTCTCTCTCCTCCCACGTCACTCGGCTTGCGGTCGAAAGGGTGTGTGTGTCGAGTTCACGTAGCCGACCGTTCCGCATGTGCGAGTGCGCACACAACATATTACACGGAGGGCCCAACTTTTTAATATCCCACACAGCGGAGGGCTGCGGAGCCCACCACACATATTTTTTCTCGCACAAACGAACGTGTGCACCGTGGATGGCATTTTGTACGCAGTGGTGTCTCCGTCCGTGTTAGTGACGTCACTGCATCAACCAGCCTAGTGATATTTAAATTAATAACTATATGTATGGCGTCATTAGACGCCGCGACCGCAAATGAAGAGGAAATGCGGCGAGCAATATACGCTCCACTTGATACATCTATGCTGTTCGTGAAAATGCAGTTTCAACGATGCTACAAAATCAATTAAGTTTTCTTATTCATAGTTCCTTGCAGGTTCTTTGCATCTAGAACGGTTTTATGATTTTAAATTTTAATGAAATTGGGAAAATTTATTTAATTCAAAATAAATAAAGAATAATTTTCATGTGTTTTGATTATTTAAAAAAAAAGCGAAAACGTTTTTTTTTTTTAATTTGACGAAGAAAAAATAGAGCTATATCAAAATAAATAAATGATATAAATTCAATTGTTTCACATAATCATGGATCAGTGCCTAATAAGTTATTGGTTTTTTTTTTTTATCACAATAATAGCTTAAAATACAAAATAAAACTAATTGAATAACTACTATCTATTGTGTTCAAGGGTTTCCTGTTCTTTGCTTAGTTAGTTATATCTACTCATGATACATTTGTTATTGATGGCATGATGAGTCATCAAAGGTTGAATTATTCCTTTGTCTTGTCTTTACTGTCCAAAATTCTCACAAACTTAAGTGAAAATATATAGAATAAAACGACGGAATTTCTTCTGCATTTACCCATTTAGAATATAGAATATCATCTAAAATTGCATAATATATAATAAACTATTAATAAAATTAAAACTAAGTATAATCCAAAAAGTATAAAACACTGAAGTTTTTCATATTGGAAGCAAAAAATACTTAAAATAAGTAAATTTGCCATTAAGGAAAGATTATGCAGAATGCATTGGTCTACAACAAAAATTAATTTAAAATGTACGATATTTTTTTTTTTTTTTGACAATAACTGTAGCAATTGTTCCAACAATGACAAATGCCGAACCAAAATCAAAGAGCCGCAGTTTGCGTGAAAAATTTCCCACTGACACATCCCCTGTGGGTCACTGACGGCAGCGTTTCGCGTGCCGAGTGTGTTTGTCCAGGTGCAAAGTGTGCACCCGTTGCGTCAGCGGTGTTGATTACGCGACAAAAGTATCAATCACCGCACCCCACTCATAATTTAGCCGGCAGCATAGCGCAAATAGATTCACGTGCAATTTGGCTGCATCATAAATATCGGCGCGAGCGAGCGAGCGAACGAGCGATCCATCACCGCCAAACCCTCGACTCGATTGATATCACTCACAATCTGCATCGGCACCGCGGGACAGTGACAAAATTATTGGCGGCGAGGCCACTTCAAATTCAAAATAATGGATTAGATATGTGACAGCGAGGGAAGGAGAAAATTTAATTAAAATTTTAGTGCCCTAATCGTTTGCTGTTTTTTATTCAAGCAGAATGTTTAAAATTTGTACAAATTGAAAGTGGAAATTGCATTTACGAATGTTATTATCTCCCCAAAATAGGTTTAAAGTAAATGATTTAGGTGGAAAAAGCCAAATAATGGCTAAATATTGCTTGAAATTCTGTTTCTTGGATGCATTTAGGGGATTTTTATAAGAGATTTTTCAGTTTATTTTTTATGATTTTTTCCCCTTATTGTTGGATTGCTTATTAAATTAAATTTTTTCCTAGAAACATTGAATTTAACAAATATTTATTTAAATTATTATGATAAACAAAAATCATATCCACTACAAATAATTGAATTTCAAATTTTGTATTAAACTCGTTCACCTGTAAAATTTAAAGAAATGTTCCTGCTCGGGACCTTAGCTTGATGCTATCATCGAATCAAGCGATTAGCAGCGCGAAATTGGGCAGCATAATTGAGCCATAACTCTTTCACTGCCCCGGTGCATGCACACGTTATTATCATTGTGGCATGAGAGAGAGAGAGAGCGAGCGAGTGAGTGGCTCCGGCACACTGCAGATATCTCTCATGCATCGATCCGCACGAGAGCAGCAAATGAACACCTTCTCCACGCCCGTGCACCATGAATCAAATCGCCGCCTTTCCAAGCCCACGGCCGGCTGCAATAATAATACCATCGCTTCGACACCCTCGTTTTTATTCTAAAAAGCTGCTGCATTCACGGAGAAAAACGTCATAATGCGATCAACGCTGATGATGGAGGACGGACGGGGATTTTGTGAAGCGCTTTGATGATTCAGCTCACGGCTGATTCAAATTCTAGGTGATCCTAACGATCTGACGGGAAAAAGGGTTGAAGGCATTCCATAGGAAAATAGAACGACCTAACATTGGGCCCATTTTGGCCGGCAATTAAAAAAATTAAAAATTTAATTATTGCAGCCTAGCTTCGATATCATTTCATTATTTGTAAATTTACAAATAACCTTGAATTTTGAATATTACAAAATTTTCCAATATAAATTTAGAAAAAAAACTATTAACTTCATTAATATCAAATCTAGCTGTAACGTTTTTACATGCAATTAAAAATTTAAAAAAAATAATAATCTTAAACACATTTAAGTACCTCTATAACTCTGGTTTAACTTTCACTTCGTTTTTTTTCTATTTAAAATGTTGAAATTAAACAATGAACTCTGAGCGCTTAAAATTTGGAACCCATTTATATGTGATTTTGTATATTTAATGTGTTTATAATGTTTCAAATAGAGTTTATAAAAACTCAACGGATTTATTCTCAATTAATTATAAAGTTGGAACGAAGCAACCGCGCCATGAGTCGTTAGGACGCGTGTGTGTACCTGCCGTTGGCAATCAACTGCGAGCAATCAATATTCGGAAAGGGTGAGAGCAATTAGCGAGAGCGGGTGGCGAATGCACGAACGCGAAAACGAAGGCAGTGAATCTCTCGCATGCACACGTCACGTTCCATTCGGGGCGAGACGCGGAATTTAATTAGCGGAGGGAGCCGCCCCCGATTAATGCATTAATATATCAGCAGACCATCTTAATGCAAAAGGGCATTACCGCCCTTTTTACTGCCTCTCCAGAGGAGAAAGCTGATATTGCACCTACGTTCTTTTTTTTATTATTAATAACGCCGC